TCAATTTAATGATGAGGTCATTTACGACCATGTTCCACAGCAGAGGCGACAGTACCCCTCCTTGAGGGCATCCCTTCGCTACTATGGCCCATGGGGTCATATTTGCTGTCGTTTTTATTGTTCTTAATTTTAGCATGTTGCTAATCCAGCTGATGAGCACTTCATCCACTTCGTGCCTCCTCAGTGCTGATTGAATGCTGGAGAAGTTGGTTTTGTCGAAGGCTCCTTCAATGTCGATAAAGGTGCCTAGGCAGATTGCTTTGTCTTTGAGGGCCACTTCTATCTTGCCCACAACGGCATGTAGGGCTGATTCAGTGGATTTGCCTTGACTGTATGCATGTTGGTTTCCGTGTAGTGGTATGTTCTTAAGCGCTCCATCCCTCAGTTCTCTGTCACATAACCTTTCTAATGTTTTCAAAAAGAACGATGTGAGGCTGATTGGTCTGAAGGACTTCGCGTCAGTGTAGTCGTTTTTACCTGGTTTCGGTATAAATATGACTTTTACCTCTCGCCAGCTGTAGGGCACATAGCTGAATGCTAGACAGGCCTGAAAGATGTTGACCAGGTGCTGGACCAGTGTCCCCCCGCCCCATTGTAGGAGAGCGGGGAACACTCCATCTTGGCCCGGAGCTTTGTACGGTTCAAAGGTGTTTACTGCCCATTTTGTCTTTTCGTATGTTACTACTTGTTCAGCATATCGCCAATTATGGGTCGATGTATTGTAGTTCATTTCTTCGCACCTTACGTCTTGGACGAACCTACATCCTGGGAAATGTGCTTCCAGTAGGGTTCTCTCCGTGTCCGCAGGGGAAGTTGTGTATGTGTTGTCTAATTTGCGTATTGAACCTAGCTCAGTTGAGTTTGAGTTGCCTAGGATTTTCCTTATTCTGTTCGCTTGTGCACAAGACGTTATGTTCCCGCAGTAGCCTCGCCATGACGCGGTGCTCCTGAATCGTATGCGCTTTTTTAGTTTGGATTTGGCCGTCTTGTAGTTTTCCCAGTCCTCATCCGCGCATGTGTTCATTGCTCTATTGAAGCTTCTCCTTACCCTTCTTCGTAGCCTCTCAAGCTCAGGTCCCCACCAGTGTTGGCCTTGCCGCGGGGCAGGTTCACTCAGTGGGCATGCGGAGTTATAGCTGCTCAATATGTTTGATGTCAGTCCTGTAACCTGTGTTTCTATATGTGCTGTGTCCAGTAGTCTTCCCGGTGCTACCGGTTCCCCAAGGCTCTGGTGTAGTTTGTCAATGTATATTTTACGATCGGTTTTTCGGGGATTCCGTTTCGGTTGTTGTTCTTTGATGGTTGTTTCTAAGTTGAATCTTATCCATCTGTGGTCCGAGAAGGATGCTTCTTCGGACACGTGCCAGTCTTGGACAAGATTTACAGCTCCTTCGGACGCTAGGGTTAGGTCTATAATCGTCCTGCATCTTTTATTTACGAAGGTTGGTACTCTCCTACCTATCTCTAATAGTTTCCGTGATAGGAGACTTTGAAATTTTGTAGGGCGGCCATCTTGTTTATTGGAATTTCGAACATTTTTTACTTCCCGCGAAAATTGACCAGGATGTATCTCATAAAAATGCACAAAAATCCCCCCCATGTATTATAGTTTTTGCAGGCCTTGATCACTCGTTTACATTTTCCACATTCAGGTCTTCTCATATTTGATTCTTTGCCTTGGAGCCTACCCGCGTACAACGGTATAAATATCTTTTTTCCACCATATCGGGAAGTATGCGTTCTATTTTTTTAAGTGTTTTTTAAGTGTCTAAACTTGTAGCTTTATACATATGAGTTCTAAGTAAGGCCCCTTCTGTAACAAACATGACGAAGATATTTACATAATGTGCTTTTGCATGTAAAATAAAGTCAATTTTCTTGTGTTTATTTTCATTTAATTGTCGGGTTTCTTCACTTTAAGACCAAATTAGTCTATAATTATGATCCTGCCCCTCCAGAAACATTCTTGTCATCACAAAAGATCTCTTTAATGATGACAGATTGATACTCCATTACGTAACAATTATTATAAGTATAATAAGCCTTGTGGTGTATCCGTGGTAATTATCTACGTAAACTCAATTAGCAAACTAGTTGCACGCGAATTGTAAATGCATAGATAGACATTAGGAACGCAGATCTAGAACGTTTCATATTTAAGAACGTACATTGTTCCAAGAGCAATATTCTGTTGTTGAAGTTTCATGAATTCTAATAGCATTTTAATGACTTCCTTGTAATTGTTCGTCGTAAATTTTGTAAATTGTAATAGTTTCATTGCACATTGTAATGAGTATTGCGATTTTGTTAGCTAGTTTGGTTTGTACAAAGTAAAATTGTGATGTGGAAAACGACGTAGTGACGAGATTAGAAAAGTCAATGTTTCGAAGGTTTGGTTAAGTAGAAATGATGCATGTCATTACATTGACAGCACAATTTTACAGAACAAACGTGGATAGAAAAGTGTGGAGAAGTATTCTTTGACGTATACAGATTGTGGATGCCCTCAAGAAAGGCCAGGTTAAAAGTACATAGAACAAACGCGCTTGTATGTAGCGACTTTTGTATAATACCAAGTGACGGGACGAACGAGTCATGCGTCTGGTGGTAAGCGACACGCCTGTCCATAACAGTTGCAGTGCCATTCAGAGCTTTAAATCGCAAAGATGTTCTGGGCACTACCACTACGCGCGTCATTCTGAGACATAAGTTGACAAGTCCCATGTGCTTGTAATTTCACCAGCACCCTTACTCTTCTAAACCGCAACGCAGTAATGCTTACATTACTGCTTGACGCCAGAAATAGGTAAGGTGCAGTATTTACCTTGAGGAACTCTTTCATAAAGAGCTCAGTAGAGTTCTTTATGAAAGTGTTCAAAGCTCGAGCAGTAGCTCTAATACTGACTAAGACTGATGTGAACGGAGGAAGCTTGTGGTCTCTGCCTACCGCAATGGGACACAGGTGTATGTAACATGTTGTGTGTTTTTTCTTTTTGGAACATGGCAGGTTGTGAGCAGAATATCTGCGGCACTGTGAAACACTCCGCTATTTTGCTGTGTTAGATAATTTTTTATTTCCCATTACTACTGTTTGGTATTGAACTCTATGTGTAATGTATTTTATATTTAATTATAAACATGTTTATTGTTATTATTTCAGCGAGAGAACTATTGAGAGGTTGACATGTACAATTACATAATTATACACGCATAAAAAGTTTCTAGGGATCAATCACGTTTTTGCTAATGACTGTAAATCAGGTTTTTTTAATGAAATATTTTACCACCAATGGATTTCTTGTGGTCATTTTCATTTTCAAATTCAAATTAATTAATTGACCAAAGAATATCCATCTATGTTAAAAATAATTAATCAAGAACCCGATTTTCTGTAAATGGCAAAAACGTGTTTGATCCCTATACATTTTTGATGTGTGTTATTAATGAATGTTTAGGTACAATACGTCTCGCTAACAGTGAGGGAAAACATCCTTGGAAATGGTGTGACATTCCCACAACCTGTCCTTAGAGGAGACCCGTGCCCAGCAGTGGGACGTATAAGGGTTGACGCTCAAAATTCCATTACCTGGCATGTTACCAAATTTATTAAATGGCGTTTATGGAATAGTTTGCAATGTTACCCAATGGTTTCTAAAGCATTATTATGCTATCGTCTTTTAAATGGATACTTGTTTAGATATAAAACTCATGAGATTTAACATTCTTTTGTTGTGAACGCGAAGAAAGTACTTGTGTTTATTTTAGACTGCAAATGTGACAAGTGCGGCGAGTCGAGGCGGAACGAAGTGAGGTTAGACGAAGCGGCACCAGGTGCAAACGCGATGGGACCGTTGCATTTACTTGTTTACGATAAGTTTGCTCGGAGTTAGAGAGGTTGAAGTTCTGTGTACAGGATGATTAAAAGTTTATACAGTATTCAAATAGATGGACGAGTTGGTGGTTATATTTGAGGGGTGTACAGAACTTAACCCAACTTAATGGAGACCTATGATCAAAGGACGGACAATTAATCACACATCTACAACTACATAATTCAATTCAATACCATATCAATTTTTACATTAAAAAATAGCAATTAATAAATTTTCGTACAATGAATTGCACAAAAAGTGAGTCACGCATTTAAATAAACATTTCACGCTGGAACATTGTGTCGCGACAAATGGAGCGGCGGCTGACAGACGATGCACTTCGCTCCCTTGTTCGGTGACACTACATCGACTGCAGCTGCGCGCGTGTCGAGGGGGAAACCGGTGTTTCCACTTTATTTCATTGTTTGGGAATATGTATTTTATTTGCTTTTGTCTGTGGTACTATTTATTAATTCATCATTATATAAATATTAACATTCAAATATAATTATCAATGTTGCATTTCATTATTTCTTCATAATAACAATATCTCTCATAAACCTGTAAAGCGGTTAATAATTTATTTTATACGAACTAAACAATTGTAAAATACATCGTAATTATTAGAGAAGTCCTGATTGTTCGTAATTATAGCTCAGATTAAATTAAAATCCGTTATAGAATTTATACATTTATTTACATTATTTATTATTTATTTACATACATTAATTTATACATTTGAATTCAAAGATAAAAGTAATGAACGGCTTGTTGTTTTGTTAACTTTCTTATTTTGTTAGTTTAGTGAATATTTAATAAAAAAAAAATTAAACCAAATCTATTAGGTATTAGAAGTGTAACATTAGCTTAAATTTTTAAGCACTTGTTTGTGATAAAATATAATTGAAATACAAATCTTACTTTAGGCAACGTTAAGCGTATATAATTTTTTGTAAAAGGTGTTGTAATGGTACTCATCCGATAAAAATTATATTTCTATAGAATGACATTTATAGCCATCCCTTCCCGATACAGCACGATCCAGACCCTTTGTTCTTACCGAACCATAAGCAATATGAATATCGAGCCATCCATGCGGAAACTAAATTATTTATTAATAGTACTGACCTGTTTTAGCCGGATTGCCAACCACGGCGCCGGCAAAGCAGACGAAGAATACCACTATATGCCACTCCATTGTACACACAGTCACAATCACTAAGTAAAAATTTTTTAGCAACAAATTTTGCCACCAAGTGTAAATATCACATTTTGGCCGATCACATTTTTTTTGTTTCGCGTGGTGCTACGGCGTAGCTCGTAGCAGCGTAGACGTCCGCCCGGTGCGAGAGCGCCCAGTCAACTGAGCTCTACGGCTCGGTTCGGCTACGAGCTTCATTTTATTGATTCTTTTAAATGTTATTTTTGGTGATTTTACATTCACAATATGAATGTATGATGTGATTGATATTGGTGTTTACTTTTAACGATTCATTTGTTTATTAATGCTCGTGTACATTTCACCAATAATATTGTTGTCATACTCAATAAATATGAATTGCTTCAGCGTTTATAAAATGAGAATGACATAAATTTTCGTTTCATGTTTTCACTAACGTAACGTAGTTGTTAATAAATAATTACTTAGTGTGGAGAGTAGAGTATTGGAGTTTAACATATAATATAAGATAATTTTATACTTGGTAATCAAGTTATAAATAGATCGTAGAATTCGGTGATGTAAAAAATATTACAAAGTGTGAGAAAGAAAGTAATCCAGTGCAAATTATGGCAATTTTTCCTTGTTCCCGGTTTATTAACACCAAGTATAGAGCGTTCACTTTTATGAGCCGTGTTAAAATTCTGTTACGCAATCTTGCCTCGCGAAGAAAATTCCTATTTTTTTTAAATTTCGTTTGTTACGGACTTACCGTTATGGAAAAAATACAAAATGTTTCGCTAAATAAATGCTCCTTCACATGTGAAACATAAAGATTAGCAACCCATAACAAAAGACATTTTCGTGTTGCTCTGCGGTTAGTATTACTGTAGTCCCAGCTTCTATTCCGGTAAGAGCAAGCAAACTTCTCTACATTGGTTCTGGTCTGGGTGTTCTCTGGTGCTCAGGAGTGAACGTTGCTCTAATTCAAATTCAAATTCAATTTAATCTTTATTTCATAGGTAAGCATTATTACACTTGAAATCGTCACGATGGTTAAACTCTACCGCTCATTCGTAAGGCAGATTCCCCTGAGAAAATGAGCAAGAAACTCTAGGGTTTGCTCTTTGTGAATAACATTTTTTACACATTCAACAAGTACAATATATATATATATATGTATATTTTTATTTGAAACATCAGAGATCGAGACTACCTCCACGAGCTAATCGGGTTACTACCACGGATTTTTGTCATCCAAGTACGCAGAAGTTGTATAATAACCTTTAGTATATAGTTTTTGTTCCACTATAGTTTTAAACCTCGTGAAAGGCAAATTTTGTATATCAACCGGAATCTTGTTATAGAAGCGTATACATTGCCCATTGCACGTTTCTGCAGGACAAAGATTCTATTGATATCGGCGGCATTACCCCAAAGCAAAATGCCGTATGTCATTAGACTGTGAAAGTAGCTGAAGTAAACCAATCTAGCGGTTTCGACGTCTGAAAGTTTCCTTATTTTTTTAATCGCGTAAACTGCAGAGCCGAGCCGTTTTGATAACTTACTTATATGGCGACCCCATTGCAATTTAGCATCTAACGTTATACCTAGAAATACAACTGTATCGACAAGATTCAATTTTTCGTGTCTAACTACAATATTTCTAACCGTCTCACTAACATTGGGTAATGTAAATTTCACACAAATCGATTTTTTCTCATTAAGGAGTAGATTATTAACAGCAAACCAATCAACTACTTTAGATATGGCATTGTTCACCTCGTCGTAGGAATATTGGTGCTTTTAACTATAAATAATAAGGAAGTATCATCAGCAAACAATACTATCTCATGTTTTATACCCTCCATAAGGCTATGTAAGTTGTTACTATAAACTAAAAACAAAAATGAGCCTAGAATTCAACCTTGAGGGATACCCATGCTAATTGCAGACCCTGATGATCTCGTACCGTTAACATCGACCCTCTGTCCACGCAAATACGATTTAAATAGGTCGAGATCACGTCCCGTCACACCATAATGGTGAAGTTTCCTGACCAGTGTATCATGGTGCACACAATCAAAAGCCTTGGAAAGGTCACAGAATACACCAATAGCATGTAGCACCAATGTGAAACTTCCCATGCATCAAATATATGATTGATCAACTCGACACCAGCATCGGTTGTAGAGCGACCCCGAGCGAAACTAAATTGTTTAGGAGACATTCAGTTATTACTATAAAAATATGCACACATCTGATTAGAATATTTTTTTCAAATATTTTACTGAGTGTTGGTAGTATTGATATAGGTCTGAAATTGGTGGGGTCAGAAATACTACCAGATTTGAAAAGTGGAATAACTTTACTTTGCTTCATGAGGTCAGGAAAGACACCATCATCAACATATTTATTAAAGACACAGGCTAAGTAAGGCGCAATACAATCAACTATAGAACTAATTACTCTGACTGAAACACCATAAAGATCAGCAATATTTTTTATGTTTATAGACTTAAAGGCTTTAACAATGTCGTTTGGAAATGCATGACGGAACCTTAAATTAGTGATACTAACTGCATTATGTTCTTTTAGTAAGGATTCAGCGGCGGTGGGAGATGAATTTAACGACTTAGTAGTCAAAATTGGAAGGTCAGTAAAAAAAAATTTAAATATTTTTGTAACTTCTGCGTCTGTGTTTACAATTTTGTCATTAAATCTTAGTTGTAAATCTATGTTACGAGGTTTGACCCTTCCAGTTTCGCTGTTTGTAATATTCCAAGTCGTTTTTACTACATTCGCGCTGCTTTTATTTTATTATTTATAAACATTTCTTTGGCTGCAACACAAACACATTTAACATTTTCGAATATTTCCTAACAAAATCATTAAAATTATTACTTGTGTTATAAGTCCTTTCATCGTAAAGATCATATAGCCTTTGTCACTTTTGTGAATTCCCACAGTCGCCCAATCACTAAATTTTAATGAATTATTGTAGTGTATATGTTAAAAACTGAATTATACATTTTATTGGGATCGTTAACGTACGGAATGTCAGTTGGTTTAAGCATTACGTTATTTTTATAAGCTTTAAGTCGACCATTATTTATCGGAACACATGCGATATCCTTTTTTGACATTTTGTCAACAGTTATATTAAAAGTAGCCAATTGACCGCAGTGATCAGAAGGTAATTTATTTATAATAGATTTATTACTACGTACGGGTACAAATGTTGTCTAAACAAGTGGCAGTAGTAGAAGTTATTCTAGTAGGCATCAAGAAAAGATTCACAAGATTATAACATTGGAAAAATGATATGAGCCTACTGCTAGCACTGGAATCTTCTAATAAGTTAACATTGAAGTCACCACAAACGGCAATATATTTATTTGGATTATTTAATTTGCCTAAAACTTCATCTAATCTTTTTTCAAATAGTTCGTAAGATGAATGAGGGGTCTAGGCTCACAATATCTGTACGTTCTTTAAATTTGAAATTATTTTTAATAAGAATTAAAGGGGCGCCATGAATAGCTTTTTCTCTGCTGAACGAACTAGCCACCTGGTGATTGTTGAAGCTAAACATGAACTGATGTTTTGATAGAAAGTGGTGTTCAGTAATACAAAGAATAACAATATTATTACAGTTAATAAATAATTCTAGTTCTAACTCTTTGCCTTTCATGCCTTGAATATTTTGGTGCACTAGGTTTAATATACAATGTATTTTATTTCTGTGTGTTTTAGATTGGTTTTTTACTGTCATTGTGTTGCAAGAGTATCTCTCCGTTGTCTTATTAATTAATTTAAATAAGTAGAAATTGAATTATTTTCAACAGATAGATTATGGTCAGTAAACTGACCTACGTCAACGGACTGCTCAATAGAAGCAGCCGCTCTGGTAGCCAACGATTTGGCTGAGTTATTAATATAATATGATAGCAACTCTGCTATCTGTCTCCTAAAATAACTAGTAAGATAAACCTATCTTTAGTCAAATAAAAATATTTACTAATAAAATTATTAGTATCCATAAAATGAAATTTACTATAATGAAATGTCAAGCTGTGTAAAGTTCTATTTAAGTTACGCCTCAAATTATTTTCACTTGTTGTGAGGCTATTGCTGAAGGGAAAAGCTAACAAAATAATTTCTTTTATATTAATTAAATTATTTAATGCCAATTAAAATTATTAATGAAGTGTCTTTGTCAAATTTAGTTGACAAAATACTATCTAATATTTTACAGTATGTTGCACCTGGCATGCAAATATTTGTTAATTTTATTCCTAGGTGGTTAAGTTGCAAACCTATATTTTTACCCATTTCATCACTATACATAACAGTATTTTTTTGAATGTCATTTGATCTAGTTATTGACAAAGAGGTATTTTTTTTATTCTAAACAAGATTCCCGCAACAACAATAAGGAGGGATCAGTGACACACACACAGACAGGGAGGATTGTGGTTTTATTTCTTTGCAATTGCAAACTTGATTATTTGTTAGAGACTCAAATCTGTCATTATTATATCTACATAAATCTAATAAATTATCCATAGCCTGTGCCTGCTCCTTAATCTCCTGTTGCGCAGTTTCATATTTTTTGTGTTATTAATTTTAATGAATTTGTTACACTATGTAATTCTGCCTGGAGGCGCTGTGTGTCACATTCATAGCTAAGCCTATTTGTCTCAAGATTTTGAGTACAATCACTCAATTCATTCAACAAACTCTGAAGTTCTTTTCTTAATGATATATTTTTATAAAATGCTGCATTTTTCTTTATTAATTTGTTTGTGCTGGATTGTATTTATTAATTTTAACATATTTTTTTTATTTTTTTACTACAATTTAAAGTTAAAGCTGTTGAATTAAATGAGTGACTTTCACCAGTCAGATCAATGGTGATTGATTCTGAATAGGAGGGTGGTACAGCACATACCATTGACGGAGCACTGCTGACCAGCTCATCAAATAGGGACTGCGACTGTGTTGACTGTTGTTCGTCCCTTGCTTGTTCCATTATAGTTATTTGATTGTATGCATCTCGT